TGAAAAGAAAAGAAGATTTTTCTATCTGATTTTTCTTTATCACTCTCAAATGTCAGCTGTCAAAGTGAAGGTGTTGCTATTAATGAGACTCATTCATATCCGGTTGGGCTAGGTTTAAACTCATTAGCTAATCACAAACACCATGTGGTTGCTTGGGAAATGCCTCGTGAGTGTTTCATAATACTTAACTATTATGATGTTATATGCAAATTAGGAAAAAAATCATGGTTAAAACTTGTGAGCTGGCCATTGTGTGTGGAGCTGGATGAATGCTTATCAGCAAAGAGTTAAGTTTGCTGGAAAATGCATTTGTGGAGGGAGCACTGAAACTGTGAATTTGGGTTCAAATTTTGCAAACGGCTTTGGCAAAAACTGTTTGTTTTAAATCAAAACCAGATCTTTTGCCCTTTCAAAATGAAACGTTTTGTCCATTTTGAAATGTTTTGTTTTGACCATTTAACCTTTTTTTGGTTTTGACTTTTCATTTTAAAATATTTCATTTGGACGTTTAGCTAAATAAATAACACACAAAAAAGAGCATGTGGAAATCACCTGAAATGAATTCTTTCCCCGAAATCATTTCAAGCTGAAACTATTTCCACCTCCACCCGCATTTCAGCACAGGAACAAACTGTTCCAGTTAGAACCAAACCAGTTTTTCCCTCTAGGTTTTCCCTCTTGTCTACTGAATTGAAAAAAATCAAACTTGCAGATCACAGGCTCCAGCCGGAACCCAAATGTCCTCTCTATACCAAAATTTTACAACCCTGCAGCTTGAACCCTGCAAGCCTGAGTCTGCTGAGACAACCATTTGTGTTCAATTGCTATGTTGCCATGTAGACACACCTGGTCTGTCTAATCCTATTATATTGTTATGCTTATAAGAAGAACATGGGATTTTTACAGGGGGAAAAGGCAATACACCACATTTATTGAGAATGCAATGGCAAAGCAGTTAGCATATGCTTTATAGATGGACACATGCATATGCACATACTGTTCCAGTAACTGATCTTATATTTACGAGTTTATGGTCCATAAATTGATTATGGGCAGAGGAGTGGGGATTTATTGGACTGATGTTTTAGTTATGGCAGCATGTTTCCGTTTTAAGGCAAAACAGTTTTTTTAGAATAGTTTTTTTTAAATTAGGATTAGTGGGGTTTGCTTTTTTTTTGATGGATGTTTGTTATTTTTAGTAGTTGGGGTTTTTTTGGGTTTTGCTTTTTTGTTTTGTTTTGCCATATTAAGCTGGTTTTGATTATGAATATTTTGCTTTAATTGATAAATGCTTGCTCTTTTTTTAGAGCTGTTAATTTGCTTACTGCTCACATCTTGATGGGGATATGCAGCAATTTCCTAGTGCTTTTATGTTTGTTTTTGGCTTCTTTTTTTTAAAGAACATTTTGCCTCTTTACCCTTATTTTTTAACCCATACTTTTTTTTATTTACATAAAACAGAGTTGATTTTTCTGTTACACAGAAGCAACATTTGTTACAGAGAAGCAATATCCACATTTGAGTAAGGACTTGAAATTACAATAAAAAACCCAGTTATTATACCCTTTGATTTATTTTATAATACTAATTTTAAAAATTAAAACAAAATTATAAAACTTTATTTTTGCCTTGGAATTAGCTTTCGACACAACATTTTGGCTTGTGCACCTTTACCAATGGTAACGTAAAGGTCCTTTCTGCTTTCAGAAAGGGTGGCTGGCAAAGCACACTGAAGCACATTACTTTGCATAAAGCTACATTTGGCCCCTCAAGAACAATTCTTGAGTGGGTCACAATTTATACAATTGTTTTAGAGCAATATACCGAGAAGCAATTTGGGCTTGTGGTTTTAGTTTAACATACTGTTTAAAAATTTATTTAACAACACATACATCACATTTTTATTATTTATACATGACAGTATTAAGACAATTAACAATGGGTGAAATAAAATAGACATAAGAACATAAGAATGGCCGTACTGGGTCAGACCAAAGGTCCATCTAGCCCAGTAGCCTGTCTGCTGACTGTGGCCAGTGCCAGGTGCCTCAGAGGGGGTGGACCGAAGACAATGATCAAGTGATTTGTCTTGTGCCATCCATCTCCAGCCTCTGACAAACAGAGGCCAGGGACACCATTTCTATCTCCTGGCTAATATCCTTTTATGGACCTAACCTCCATGAAATTATCTAGCTTCTCTTTAAACTCAGTTATAGTCCTAGCCTTCACAGCCTCCTCTGGCAAGGAGTTCCACAGGTTGACTACACGCTGTGTGAAGAAGAACTTTCTTTTATTAGTTTTAAACCTGCTACCCATTAATTTCATTTGGTGTCCTCTAGTTCTTCTATTATGGGAACTAATAAATAACTTTTCTTTATTCATCCTCTCCACACCACTCATGATTTTATAGACCTCTATCATATCCCCCCTCAGTCTCCTCTTTTCTAAACTGAAAAGTCCCAGTCGCTTTAGCCTCTCTTCATATGGGACCCATTCCAAACCCGTAATCATTTTAGTTGCCCTTTTCTGAACCCTTTCCAAGGCCAAAATATCTTTTTTGAGGTGAGGAGACCACATCTGTACACAGTATTCAAGATGTGAGGCATACCATAGTTTTATACAGGGACTGTAAGATTCTGTGTCTTATTTTCTATCCCTTTCTTAATAATTCCTAGCATCCTATTTGCCTTTTTGACCACCGCTGCACACTGTGTGGAAGTTTTCAGACAACTATCCACGATAACTCCAAGATCTCTTTCCTGATTTGTCATAGCCAAATTAGCCCCCATCATACTGTACGTATAGAGTTATTTTTTCCAATGTGCATTACTTTACACTTATCCAGGTTAAATTTCATTTGCCATTTTGTTGCCCCATTACTCAGTTATGTGAGATCTTTTTGAACTTCTTCACAGTCTGCTTCTGTCTTGACTCTCTTAAACAGTTTAGTATCATCCGCAAACTTTACCACCTCACTGCTTACCCCTTTCTCCAGATCATTTATGAATAAGTTGAACAGAATCGGTTCCAGGACTGACACTTGAGGGACACCACTAGTTACTCCTCTCCATTCTGAAAATTTACCATCTATTCCTACACTTTGTTTCCTGTCTTTTAACCAGTTCTGAATCCATGAAAGGACCTTCCCTCTTATCCCATGGCCGTGTAATTTACACAAGAGCCTTTGGTGAGGGACCTTGTCAAAGGCTTTCTGAAAATCTAAGTATACTGTATCTACTGACAGTATGCTCTTAGAAATAGGGAATCCGCCTGTAAAAATGTTATACCAGTCATAGGCTATTTTTTTTTTAGATTCAGCAATTTTTAATATATTTGTATTAGTATGTAATATTTGAATAACACACTTTTTTACATTTTTTGTATGTTGTAAAAACTGGGTTACCTTTGTTTTTGTTAGTAAGTGATTAGTTATATTATGCCAGTTTAGACCAAGAGTAACAAAGAAATTTACCAAAGTGGTAAATGTCCATTCATCTGAAGTGGGTTATGCCCACTAAAGCTCATAATACCATCTACATGTTTTGTTAGTCTCTAAGGTGCTGCAAGACTATTTATTTGTTTTTTAAGTTTTACCAAAGTGGTAGTTATAGTTATTTGTGCCTCTTTAATTTTTGGTAGATAGTAAGTGTGATTGTTTGTATATAGCACACTAACATTACATTTACATTTATTTACTGGTGGCTGGCTAATACTTTTATTTTTTTTATTTCATTTTAGGATGTAACGTATACTCATTGTTTACTATGCAAAATGTGTGTTACATTTTTAAATTTGTTTTAAACATATGTTTTTAATGATGTATTTACAGTACATGGTTTGGTGGTGACAGGCAGAGATAAGCATACCCATTTTTGAGTTCTTTATTTTGTACATTTTTGAGTGTTTAATAATTTCTCCACCAAAAAATGTTATGCTTATCAGAACCATATGGGCTCTTTATAGGGGGAAAGGCAATAACTACGTTTATTGAGAATACAATGACAAAGCATTTAGCGTATGCTTACATAGACAGAAACACACACACTGTCCTACCATTTGTTGTTATATTTACCAGTCCATGATCCATGGCTTGATTATGGGCAGAGGAGCCCATATGGACAGAGGCCTGTATCAGATATGCTACTTTAGAGGAAGACAGCCATCCTGGCCAATTGTCCAATATTGCTCGCTGGGTGTGAGGTGGGGCGGGGGAATGTTTTCCTGATCCTCACAGATGTTTTGATTTATATATTTCCCCATAGCATTGCTTTTCCCTTTCCTGGAGTTATTGGTCATACAATTATAACCGGACCCTTTAAAAAAGTTTTGTCATCAGCAACAGAGAGGCTATTAGGTATTAGAGGATAGGCAGGAGGTGGATCTAGTCAAAAGGAGGTGGAGATGAAAGTGGAGCCAGGACTTCATTTCTGTTGACAAATCCATTTGCTCCCATCAGTTAAGAAACAGCCCTTTACATGGTGCAGCTAATTCTCAGATGGAGTTTCCCTGGACTATGCTGGGAATTGCCGTGAGCTGGGGCTTCCGTCAGAACAATACAAACAACTCCACTTGGGAGGCTGAATCCCTTCCCAGCTCATCTCACCTGTGTGTCCTGTAACAGCTTCTTATAGCCTGTGTTGTTTTTCCTCCCAGTTTCCCTTGCCTGGTTGGACCATGGAGAGTAAAGCGGCTGTTGATGCTGAGCCCAATGGGGACACGGTGATCCTCAAAAAAAAGAAGCCAGAAATGGAGGCCAGAGGCCAGTGGAGTAATAAAGTGGAATTTATGCTGTCCGTGGCTGGGGAGATCATCGGTCTGGGCAATGTCTGGAGATTCCCTTATCTCTGTTACAAAAATGGGGGTGGTAAGTCCATAAAATTACAGGTTATGCGAAATGTTGACCCAGAATATGAGCACCAGATCAGGCACCTTCATCTGTTTATATATACACAGCCATACACATCTCCACACCCATACAGAGAGACGTCCCACCTCCTCCTACCTCCAGGGGGGAAACCACACAGGGAGGGTAAGCTATGCAGTGGGAGACAAGTCTCGCTTCACAGGTGGGTGCTCTGATAGATGAAGTGGAGCAATCCAGCTTTCAGTAGGCTCCCCATTTTACCTATGGGTGAATCTCTAGGTTTGCCATGTGTAAAGGCAACCAGCGGGTCAGATGCTTATCTAAAACACATCTGAATTATCAGACCCTTTGGGGGCTCCCACTGCCAGGAAATTGATCCTGTCAGTTCTCCCACTCAACAGCCCCTGAAACCTTTCCTCCTCAGTCCCCATGCATTTCCCCTCCTCCCAGCTATTCCCAAGGTCTCTCTGACATAGCTGACTTTCTGGCAGGGGAAAGTTTTGTTGCTTTTACCCCCTCCAGGGCCTGAGCTCCTCCTCAAAGGCACTTGGACAACTGCTTCTCTCTAGTCTGTGACCCAGCTGGTCCCACTAAACCCAACTTTTGGGCCAGTCTGGCCTGTGGTTGTAGCCTTTCTCACACTCCTGCCTTTCCTGACAGGGAAAACACTGATCCGAAAAGAGGTTTTTGTCCCACATAAATTCTAACGCTGAGTAAGGTCACCAGATTTTCAAAGCTGAAGGGCAAGTTGCTTGTCCTGGGGGTAATCATGAGTTTGAGGAGAAGCTCAAGGAAAGTGTGCCTCGGAGGATGAAAAAGCAAAGGACACCTTTTCCAGTTACAGATCTATTAGTAGCCATCCCTTGGCCTGGGAAAACATTCCCACAGAAAGAGTCCATCCCCTTTTATTGCTGCTGCTTGTGTGACTGACTTAATGCCTTATTCCAGTAAAACTGCTGTTAGATCTTTTACATGGTTAAAAATGAGATTTTTATAGTGACTATTAAATGAACCAATAGAGGGCAGGATAATTGAACGTCACCAGTTTTTTTTATAAAAATTATTGGACTTTGGTTTATTAAGGAAAACTAAACCCAAAAGAATGTAGTTCTGTAAGGTAACAAGAACATATGTGTTCTCCCATTCCACAGTCAGGTCCTGAGGTAATATTTATAGTTATGTACACCTCTTCACCTTTTTGTGTTCTCATTTAATAAAGGCCAGGTCATAATGACCTTACATTTGGGTCTTTTCTTCCAGGTGGAGCAAGAGTATCAGAACTGATAATCCTTGCAGTGTCTAGCCTAACTAGCAGAACTGAAAAGGCTACTTGCATACTTTCCGATGCATGAAAAATGACGAAGTTATTTGCCTCAGTGATTATTTCTAATGTAGTTGTAGCATATCAGGCTATGATCTTGTTAAAGCTCTCAAAGTGAATGTGGCTAGAGCTGAGAAAAACTTGGCTGGGAGACGACCACAAAAAATTGAAGATGCTGCAGAACGTGGTCTTCATGTTTTAGGAGAAAGCTCCCTTTCTGTTGAGTCAGTACAAAACCAATGACTCGGCACTGCATGGTAGGAGGGAAGGGGAGAGGGGGTTGAAAGATTTCATGTCACTTTTTGCAAAAATAGATGTTAACCCTGGTATCCTAGCCAGCACTTTGGGAACTTCAGAAAAGAAAAGTTTTATGAATGTTAAGAGGGCACTCTTATAAATGATTATTATTAATTAAACTGATCAGCCACTTGGACCATCGGAATCAGAAGAATACATGGGATCTTCCTAGGATTAATCCGAACAATTACTGGACAATACTGTTGTCTCACAAGAACTCTGACTGAAGGTCTTTTATGTAGCAGTGAAAGGAGCAGCTGCCTTTGGCTGAATGCATATATAGAATCTCTGTTCCCTACTTCACAAACCTATACTGAACCTGTCTGGATGTGAAGGGTCTGCTGTCCCTAGATCCCCTGCAGCTATACTACATCTGTGTTTAGGGAATATTTTGATGTTTTTTATTTTTACATTATTGGCATAAGAACAAGGGGAAAGATTATTTTGTTCGACTCAATTGTTAATTATCCATCATGGGAAGGAATGTAGGAATGCATGACTGTTTATGCCCAGGAAGAAACAGATGTAAAAGGCAAATGTGGTTCTTCTGAGAGAAGGAGCTCAAATCTTTGTTCCAAACATCTGTTTTTATCAGAGAATTGAGGGAAAGAATGGGAATATATTCACTTATCTTTTATTCCTGGTGTTTGATGAGGCCCTGAGGGCTGTTGTTTCAATCAGGAGGAGAATGACATTTGCCTGCCTTGTGTCTGCCATTGGATCACTGGTCCCCACACTTTTTACCTCACACCCCCTTTACTTATGTCCATGCCCTCCTGCCCCCTGAAACTGGGGGCTAGGAGACAGATGGAAATGGCTAGCAGCCAGGATCAGGAGCAGAGCTGGCTGGTGCTCCCAACCTGCCCTCCTGTTGGGCCTGTCCTGGCCCCCAGATGTGCACCCCCAAATATTCTTCCATTCCCTTCTAGGGGGTGTACCCTACAAGGACCTCTGGGTTCGATTGGGGTGGGTGGATTCTGAATCTGGAGCCCAGCTGATCACTTTGGAAGGGCTGGAGACTAAGCCAAGATCCTGGCAGCAGTTTAGAATCAACTGGCAAGAGTTGTCCTGTTACTGCTGGCTAAGGAGGACTGTAGTGAGGCTGAGTGGCCTCCCTCTGAACTGGAGTGTGGGGGACCGCTATGCTCCCGTGGGTGGGTGGAACCAAACCCATCTGGCCCCTCCTCACTGGAAGAGCCAGGCAGGGACAGGAAGTAGAAAAGGGAGCCCTAAAGCTCAGTTGATGCTGAGCTACTGGAAAGACTAGACATCTCTTCTGGAGAGAAAACAGCTCTGCCAGAGCCCAGCCCAGCATCAGAGTGGGCAGACACCTTGCTGTCAGGGGAGGCAGACGAGGATCCGTAGGCACTGCCAGAGCTACCTGAAGTGGAGTACCCTGAAGAGACAGGGGACCTTTGGACCATGAGCACCTACACCCAGACTGTGGCAGGAAGTACCCCAAGGGGATCAGAGTCTAGTCCAGTCCTGCTGCTGGAGTGTGAGGCCTATGTTGGCCCTCACCTCCCTGCCTGAGCCCTAGACTGCTTTGATGCTCACCTCCTTGCCTCAGGCCCTAGGCTCTCACAGCTTTCCCTTGTTACTAGCCATTAGAGAAGTTCCCCAGTCATCATCCAACTTCTCCCTGTTTAAATTATTGTGTGGTCGGCAAACCCTGGGGACTAGTAGACTTCATGTGAGAGAACTGGGGATGGATGTCATCACCCTCCCATGGTCTCCTGTGGTGTGTTCTTAAACTCCAGCAGTGGCTGGCCCAGGTGGTGGAGCTAGTGAAGGAAACCCTTCAGAAAGCCTACACAGCTTAGGAACATACTTACAAGAGAGTCTGAAGAAGAACTTTTGAGCCTGGCAAAAGAGTTCTCCTCTTATTACACTATGAGGAGTTGAAACTCCCAGCATGGTAACAGGGGGCCCTATGAGGTTCTTTCACCAGGTCGGACCAGTCACTTATAAAATATCACAACCTGACTGGAAGAAAAAGTAACAGATTTATCATGTCAGTCTTTTAAAGGCTTGGCAGAAATGGGAGAGGCTATTGATCACCCCTTGCCCTCCCAGAAGCAGACTTAGAACCTCCGCTCTCCAACACAATTGCCTCTAAAAAGCCCCTCCTGCGTTGGCGCTCATCTCCCTGGCTGAACACCTGGACTGTTACAGTTCTGGCCTTGAATATAGGCCAGAGCCCTGTTTGTGGCCCAGAGAGAGCCAGTAGGGTTGCCAGGTGTCTAGTTTTCATCCGGACAGCCCGGTAATTGCATCTTCTGTCTGGTTTAAAAAAAAAAAAAATCCAGAAAATACCAGACACATAAAATGTCCAGGCTTTTCTGTTTTTCTCAGATGGAAGGACGGCGGGAACATTTTAAAGGCACAGCAACTTTTTTTTTTCCTCAACTAAATTTTTCCCTATTATGTTTGGCATTTTTTGTGAAAGTATCTGGCAACCTTAAGAACCAGAGCTCACTGGTAGGCTGTTAATTACTGTCTGCCTTAGCCAGGTGGCTGCAGGCTAAAGACTGCTGGAGTTTTGCCTACAAACTGTTATTTACAGTCTGCCTGTAGTGAGGCAGAGTGGCCGCCCTCTCCCACTTGAGAATGAGGGACCACTACAAGGATCCAGTTGGATACAGTAAGATTTCCTCTTACTTTCCCATACCTTAGCTCAAACCTAGTCAACATTTATCTTCCGTGGCTTTTTTTTTTTGGCTTTGTTTTGTTTTCTTGCCATTCTGCTTCTCCGGGTTCTGGCTAGAAGAGTTGAAAATAGGAGAGGACAGTAGTGCTTGTAGTATTTCCAAGACAAGAACAAAGCTGAGAGGCTGTTATCTTGCAAGATATGGTCCATTTAGTTCAGATAAGCATCTACATTCAAGGATGCTTACCTGTGCCTTGCTGGTACATCTTGCTAGTTAATGTACCTGGTGATTATTATGATAATGTTAAGCAGTAAAGATGCCTTCATTTGCCTCCCACTCTCTCTGTAGGTGCTTTCTTAATCCCCTACCTCATCTTTCTCTTTACCTGTGGGATCCCAGTGTTCCTCCTGGAGACAGCACTGGGACAGTACACCAGCCAAGGAGGGGTCACTGCCTGGAGGAAGATCTGCCCTATCTTTGAAGGTGAGCCGATGAATGGATTTCCAAGGTCTACCATGGAATTTCTGGTCAAAATCAGAGAGAAAGAAATGTGGGATGGTGGGTCTCCTGAGTTTTTGTGTGGGAAATTTCAAGAGGGCTTGTTTTTGTTTTGAAGCAGAACAAAAGCAAAAGATAAAACTAGGGATGTTAAAATTAGATGAATCATCTAATCGAATAGTCCGTGGAATTTCCATCGACTATTTGATTAGTCGATAAGGGCTCTTCTGCTTTGAAATGTAGCAAGAGTCCACCTGGCTGTTACTACATTTCAAAGGCAGAACTGCTGTGTAGTGTTCTGCCTTTGAAATGTACAAGAGGCGCAGATTGAAATGCCGCATGGAGCCCGGGGCCAGCGGGGGCCCCCCTGAGCCCAGACTCCATGCAGCACTTCTGCTTTGAAATGTACAAAAACCCCAGAAGGGACTCTTGTTCATTTCTCACTGTGCCCCTGCCCCCACCCCGGAGCTGAGAGGCAGCCCTTCCCCTTCTCCCCCTTCCTGCCTCTTTCTCATAGAGGCAGCAAGGGTGGGAGGGAAGCAACTAATCGACTAGTGTGTCGACTATCCGATAAGCTTTTGCTTATTGGATAGTCAACTAGTTGATTAGTCACTTACATCCCTAGATAAAACCTTGAGTTTTTTTAAACTAAGTTTTGTTTTCAGAGCAGCCCTACTTTAAAAATCTCAGAATTGACCTCACAATGACCCTAAAGTTTTAGGATCCCCATTTTACAGAAAAGGATACTGAGGCACACAAATATGAAGTGATTTTCTCATTTTGGCATTTGCTCCTTTGCTGATATTGGCAGAGCCAGGACTAGAAACTGACCCCTGTATATGTGCTCTGACCTCTTTCTTTGGGCATGGGATATAGTTAGCAGTGAAAACCCTTTTATTTCTGATTTCTCCACTACAGCGTGAAACGTACCTGGATTTCCAACTCCCAACCTGAGTTGTACAGGATTCTCTGGTGAACTGAATTACTCATTAATCTGCCATCCACCCTATTCCCATGGGTCACTATCTAAAGTTAAAGTCTGATATATTTGGGGCTAGCCTGGGGCCTTTTCCTAACCACTTTCACTTTCCTTCCTAGGAATTGGATATGCCTCACAAGTAATTGAATCCTATCTGAATATCTACTACATTGTCATCCTCTCCTGGGCTATCTTCTACCTGTTCAGTTCCTTTGCTGCTGTGCTTCCCTGGGCTACCTGTAATAACCCTTGGAACTCAGGTATAACTTCAGCTAGCCTGCTCCCAGAAATTTGGTTTGGGGTGACTGTATCCACTGGGCTGAACAAGGAGTGCTCCAGCAGGGCTGCATGGGAGCCATCTCCTGCTCCACTGACCCTGGATCCACCCCTGCTGGTACCCAGGAGCAGCAAAATTTGAATTTTTAGGCACCCCTAGGCATGTGCCTTCTATATTTAATGGGAAATCCAGCTCTGCTCATGTGCCATTCTTTATGTGTGGGCTTCCCAGCTAGACTACTTCTCCAACGATACACCATGGCCAGGAGGCAACAGCCTGCTGTCACCACGAGGAGAGGTCATGGTGCATCATAAGTTAGGAAATCTGACCAGGAATCTCAGCTCATAGCAGGATTACGAAGTGCCCAAACTACAACTCCTGCGAAGCACCATGGCAGCATTTCTGAATCAAAATGTTTTGCTTTTGTGTGTTTTCCCCTGAAAAATTAAAAATTTCAGCAGGGGAAAAAAAAAGCCCATTTTTGGATCAGCTTGAGTCTGCCATCATCACTCAACTCCAGACCACAGAAGGAGCTTTTCCACGGGAGCCGCCACTTCCCTTATTTATAGCCCAACCCACTCCCTGCCCCTCTGCCCCTCAAGTGACTAGGCAATCTTCCATCACACGTGACGAGAACTGTGTTCAGTCAGTCTTTGGACTTCTTAGGCCAGGTCATGTCAATATAGCTGCACCACTGTACTTTATATGCCAGGCATGTCTCCTGTGGCTGCAGCTTATATTGGCAAAGTTGCGCTATAAGGGGCAAGGATTATGGCCTGCCTTTTACTGGAGGTCAGAGTAGATGATCACAATGGTCCCTTTTGGCCGTGGAATCTACAGAGCTGTGAAAATTCTTCTCTCCACGTTCAGTCCACTTACAGTCCTTGCCTTCCCGTATCCTCACTGCCTTCCCCAAAGGGTCATCGAACTCTCACAGTTCCTCAGACAGAGCTTTATTTGTGGAGAAAGCCACGGAAATTTCTCTGAGTTCTTTCTTGACATTCAGTAGCTCCCCAGCGAGGGTGGGCTGTTGTCCTGTCATTTACCTTACTGTTTGCTAAATGTATTATGAGGTGCATAGGGGTGCTCTTTCTGCCCTCTGTAACTTCCCCTGCCTTTTAGGAATTTCACCAGTAAATCATGTTCTAGAACTGTGTGGAGGAAGCACATACACGTGGCTGGTGGAGGGGTGGGGGCAGGGTAGTGAACAGGTGTGTGAAGGTACCCGGGGTAACCATAATTCCTGTCCCACAATACCCTGCATTCTACAGCCATATGGGTTCTATTCAGCAGGGAGCTGCCAGCCTGCCACCTTCCCCCATCCCATTCACTGTTCCTGGGCTGGGATTCTGAGTGGGGAGCGAGTGTTTGCTGGGCAGTGTGAAGTGTTCGTGTGCAGCTGGAGTGGACATAGGGTGGAGGTGGGAGGAAGCACAAAGGCTGAGAAACGTGAAAATTCTCTGGGCTCACCGACTTGCTTTCTCCTTTGTAGATCTCTGTGTGGACTTCCTGAATAGCTCTGACTCGGAGAACAGGACAGTACCTGCTAATGCCACCTCCCCAGTTATCGAGTTTTGGGAGTAGGTACCCCAGTTTCAGATTCCTCTCTCCACAAGAGGTCACTGCGATGCGAATGCTCCAGATGATGTCTCTGTGAAGCCCTCCCTCCCAAAAAGTGCAGGTTCTACATCTTAGTCCTGTGGCACATGGCACATCATGAGGCCTCTGAGCACACTTACTGCACACACCAGCTTGCATAATGACTGGCCATGCTGACTGACAGACATGTCTGGAGCACGTGGGCACTCCCTAAACACACGGGCTACGTCTACACTGGCACCCTTTTCCGGAAATGCTTAAAACGGAACAGTTTTCCATTATAAGTATTTCCAGAAAAAGCGCGTCTACGTTGACAGGATGCTTTTCCGGAAAAAAGCCCCAATCGTCATTTTTGCGATCGTGGCTTTTTTGCGGAAAAGAAATCTGTGCTGTCTACACTGGCCCTTTTCTGGAACAGTTTTCCGGAAAAGGACTTTTGCCCGAACAGGAGCAGCATAGTTTTTCCGGAAAAGCACTGATGATTTTACAATAGATCGTCAGTGCTTTTCTGGAAATTCAAGGGGTCAGTATAGACAGCTGGCAAGTTTTTCCACAAAAGCAGATGATTTTGCGGAAAAACTTGCCAGTCTAGACACAGCCGCTGTGTGGATGTCTGTTTTGCGCAAAAAACCCCTTTTGCACAAGATCCTTATGCCTCTCCTGGCACAGCAGAACACCTACAGTCAGCAGCATGTGTTTCTACTGGTGGCGCACATCTGGACATGCCTTAGTGCCCACGGATGGAAAAAAATTAGAGGACACACACACATACCTCCCTCCCCTCGCTCTGAGCACAGCCATAGCCATAGGGAGCCTGTAGGGATCAGGGTGAAGGAGGGCCATAACCATAGGTGTTCCTGGAGGGAGCCATAGAAAGTGGGGTGGCTGGAGGAAACAGCAGGTGACTGGGAGGCACTTATGACACTTGGAGGCTGTGGAGGTGGCATCTGATAGATCGTGGTCTGCAAAGAAGCCAAAGGGATCATGGAGATGTGAGCCTGGGAGTGATTGTGCTGTGACGGCCAGAATGAGTGGGGGCTGCAGTGAGGCTGTTGAGGCCTTGGGGAGACTTGGAAAGCCCAGGCTGACTAAAGGGCGAGGTGAAACCGCAGGAGCCAGGCTGCTAGGGGACCGCAGCGAAGTCTGAGGCAATTTCGAGAATACCTACCTTTTTTTGTACTGGTCACCTCCTTCACACAGCAAGCCACTAACTGAGCCCCCTCCCCCCTTATAAACTAAAATCACATATTTTTAATATCGAATAGTATTTTAAATGCTGGAGGTGAAGCAGGATTTGGAGGTGAAGGTTGAGAACTTGGAGCCACCCATGTAATAACCACACAGCCCCCTGAGGGGTCATGACTCCCAGTTTGAGAACCCTCGCACCATGGTGACCAAGGCTGCAGGAGAGCTGTCAGGACTAGAGTGTCCGAGAGTGGAAGTAAGGGACATTGGGCAACTGTGCTCTAGGATGCGTATGAAAACTGTGGGCTCAGGGCTGCCAGAAGAGTCAAGTCTGGGGTATTAACCTTTCTCTCTCCTCCTGAACGGACAGGAAGCGAGCCTTGGGACTCACAGATGGCATTCACAATCTGGGCACTGTGCGCTGGGAGCTGGCTCTCTGCCTTCTGCTTGCCTGGGTCATCTGCTACTTCTGCATCTGGAAAGGAGTCAAGTCTACAGGAAAAGTAAGAGCAAACTCTGTCCCCTTAGTCTCTAAGCCGCCTCCTCGCTGCCATTACGTCTCCTCTCCACTTTCTTTGCCTATTCCACGATACAGAGAGAAGAAAGAAAAAAGAGGCCGGGAACATGCTAGGCCTAGGGCCATTTCAGACTGATGTGGGTGGGTGCAACTGGAGTGGAGTGGCCCCTGCTTACTCTGGGTTTGCATTTAGTCCATAACAAGAAGAGCAAAAAAAGCTAATCAAATATAGAGGGGAGACAAGGAGAAGAGCTTAGACGAAATAGTGAAATCCGAGGCCAACATTGCTCACTAATCATTTTTACTATTGTGCTCCTTGGCTTAACTCTCAGACGGGAATGTGTGGAGCCAGCCAGACACTTTGCCTTTAATGGAAAAGAACCGAGTTTCCCTCTCCTGCTTGCTACATGTGTGTGTGGGGAGACAAAGAACTCAATAAACATCCATGTCTCCTCCTCTCTCGTCTTTCTTTGCACTTAAGAAAATATCAACGACTGAAGTATAAACGTGGAGGCTTAAAAATATACTTTAAAATGATATAGAAAAATTGGAAAGGGTTCAGAAGAGCTCCAAGAATGATCTGAGTCCTGGAAAATCTGTGTTACAGTTAAAGCTGGCCAGGAAACATGTTTTACCATTGTCCTGTGAAATTTTTTGAGATTTCAAAAAAAAACTTTTCCCAGCTTGAATCAGAGCTAAAGGTAAAAAGTATTCAATTTTTTCACAAACTGAAAATCCCACCCCCTCCCAAAAAATTAAGTTTGGGTCAATTGAACTGTTTAGTTTAAATTTAAATGTTTCAATTACAAGTTTTCAACCTTTTTTTACTTAAATTAGTTTAGTTTTCTTGTTCTAACGCAGGGTTTCTCAAAGTGGTCCATAGCTGCACTCTGAGGGTATGTCTAGACTACATCCCTCTGTCGCCGAGTCAGGTAAGTGCTTTCTCACCATGGCAGGACCTTATGCCTCATGCAACGAGGTTTACAAGATCAGATGGAAAAGGCTTTCCTTGTCGACCAATCCCCATTTAGACTGCCGCTTTTTGCCGGCAAATTGTTGCGTCGGCAAAAAGCGGCAGCCATTTTTATGCTAATGAAGCGTGGGATATTTAAATCCCCGCTTCATTAGCAATTTCAATATGTCTAATTTACATCCCTCTGGCGACAGAGGGATGTAGTGTAGACATAACCTGAGAGAGCTGCTAACAGGCTACTCTGGTTTATTTACTTACCGGCTCCATAGCCACAGAGTCTCCTGGCTCCCATTGGCTGCAGTTTGCCGTTTGCAGCCAATGGGAGTCACGAGGCTCTGTGGCTGCAAAGTTGGTAAGTAAACAAATTGGAGCAGCCTAGTAGCAGCTTTCTCTGAGTGGATCCATAGACCAGTTTGAGAAACCCTGCTCTAAAGTCATTTTGAACTGCTAAGCCAGAATTTGTCATGTTGGCAACTTTGAAACTTTTTATAGAAAGAGCACGTTGAGTTGAAATTTGTTGAAACCGATTCTTTTCCATGAAACATTTTGGTTTTGACAATCTGCATTTTTTGATGGGCAAAAATAGTTTGACCAAAAAATTCCCTACCATATCTTCTCACAGTGGGAGACTAAAGAAGTCTCAATCTACTTATTTTAATAAAGAGAATGTTAAACGGTGATGCAATCAGTCAGAAATATTTACATGGGCAGAATATTTCTGACAGTATAGGGCTCCATTGATTGGCAGCTGAAGCTAATTCATACTAGAAATAAGGTACAAATGTTTAACAGAGTAATTAACCACTAGAGTAATTTATCTAGGCATGTGGTAGATTCAGAAGTTATAGACTTAATGCAGAAATTGCTACGTGAAGTTCTATGGCCTGTTTTATGCCGGAGGTCAGACTAGATCAGGGGTGGGCAATAATTTTTAATGGGGGGGGCCACTCCAAGATTTTGTAAGTGGTCAAGGGCCACACTTCTGTGGAGGGTACATGGGGGTCTGGGATGGCAGGTGAGGTATAGAAGGGAGCATGGGATGGAGGACTGGGGTGCAGGAGGCAGTGTGGGGTCTGAGAGGGAGTTTGGGTGAAGGAAGAGGTTATAATCTGAGACAGGGGTTTGGGGTGCAGGGTCAGAGAAGGGTATATGTGCAGGAAAGGATTCTGGCCTAGGGGAGGGATATAGGAAGGGAGTGCAGGGTCTTGGGAGGGAGTTGTCACCTGGAGGAGGTGGAGAGAGGGGATACAGAGAGTTTGGATGGTGGCCTGGGGCAGGTAGTTAAGGGGAGAGAGGGGGTGGGGTGCCAGAGTCAGGGTCTGGCTGGGAGGAGATTACCTAAGTGGCTCCCAGCCAGCAGCTCTGCAGACTCCATTCCTGTAGGCTGCTCCATGTGGCTCTGCTCCTGCACAGGGAAGGAAGGAGGGATGGTGGGAGGAGGAGGAGTGAGGAGGCTTCATTCACTGACCCTGTCTTCATCAAAATTTCTCAGCTCCTTTTGGCTTGAAACTGGCCAATGGGAGCTTGGGGATTTTGCTGGAGGCAGGGACAGTATGCAAAGCTTTCTCCTCCAGCACTGCCTAGCTTGCCGAGCAATTAGCAGCCTGCTGTTTAAAGCAGGCGCTCCTGCTCTGCAGTAAGGGTGCTAGTGAAGCAGTTGCAGGCTGGATCCGGCGGCTTGGCAGGCTGAATCTGGCCCGCTAGCTGCCTCTTGCCCATCCCTGGACTAGATGATTGTAATAGTCCCTTCTGCCTCAAAATTTACTAATCTTATGGGATACTGTCAAATAATTTAACTATTCTGCTCTGTTTCTTACACTCATAAAAATTGTGCTTTGGCATATTACAAAAAAGCAGTAGAGAATTCACAGCATCTCTTAAAACATTCTCAGTTGAATATTTGCACTGGTGTGAGATTATTTGCGGAGCTCTGTAGGCAACAGGAAGTCAACTCTTGACTGGAAAACGAGTAATCCTGTGGTACCTTAAAGACTAAAATATATAGAATCATGAGTTTCGTGAGTAAAACTCAGTTCATCAGATCAGTTGGACTGGAAACAACAGAAACTAAAAGAGAGATATAACAGCAGAAGAAGTGCCTGTCAATTGTAGGATCTATACTAATGAGGCCAATTAAGTGGGCTGGATGTGCATAGCTTTTGATGTGGAACTGCAGATGTTAAAGGTGGCAGAAATTGGCTTTGTAATGCGCCAACCATTTAATGTCTTTGTTCAAGCCCAGAGTAACAGTGTCTTATCTGTAGATGAATTCCAGTTCTGCAGACTCTCTCTGTAATTGGTTAGTGAAATTCCTTGATAGAAAAATAGCTACATTTAAATCCATGATTGAGTGACCAGGCAGATTAAAATGTTCCCCTACAGGTTAATGTGTTACCATTTCTGATATCTGATTTGTGTCCATTTATCCTTTGTCATAGTGACTGTCCGGTTTGGCCAATACACACAGCAGAGGGGCATTGCTGGCACTTGATGGTGTATATTACATTAGAGGATGTGCAGTTGTATGAGTCCCAGATGGTGTGGCTTATGAGATGATGTTGCTTGTATAGATATGTGGACAGAGTTGGCAATGGGCTTTGTAGCAGGGGTAGGTTCCTGCATAAGTGTATCTGAAATATGATGTGTGGTTGCTGCTGGAAAGGATTTGCTTCAGGTTGGGGGAGTTGTCTGTAGGTGAGGATTGGCTGTCTCCCAAAGCCTGTGAGAATGAGGAATCATTTTCCAGGATAGGCTGTATCTTGGCAATAATGCACTGGAGGGGTTTAAGCTTGGGGATGTAGGTGGTGTTCTGCTGTTTTCCTTTTTGTGCCTGTCTTGAAGTAGTTGATTTCTGGATACTTGTCTGGCTTTGTCAATCTGTTTCCTCACTTCCCCAAGTGGGGTATTTACTTTTAAGAATGTCTAATAAAGAACTTGTAGGCATTTGTCTCTGTATGTGGGATTAGAGCAAATCCAGTTGTATCGTAGGGGTTGGTTATAGACAATGCATCATGTGATGTGTCCTGAATGGAAGCTAGAGGTGTGTAGGTAAGAATAGAGGTCAGTAGTTTCCAGTATAGGTTGATGTTTGTGACCATCATTTATTTGTACTGTAATGTCAAGGAAGTGGATCTCTTGTGTGCACTGGTCCAGGCCAAGGTAGATAGTGGGGTAGAAATTGTTGAAATCCCTGTGGAATTCTTCAAGTGTCTCCCTTCTGTGGGTTCATATGCTGGCAATGTCATCAATGGAGCATAAGTAGAGTAAGGGTGCTAGGGGACAAGAGCTGAGGAAATGATGTTCAAGGTCCGCCATGAAGATGTTGGCATTTTGTAGGGCCGTTTAGGTGCCCATAGCAGTGCCGCTGGCTTGAAGATATAAATTGTCCCCAAACTGGAAATAGTTATGGGTGAAGATAAAGTCACATAGCTCTGCCTCCGGGCGTGCTATGGCAGCTTCGTGGATAGTGTTCCTGACAGCTTGTAGTCCAGTCTCATGTGGAATGCTGGTATAAAGAGCTTCTATGTCCATGGTAGCCAGGATGGTGTTTTCAGGAAGATTACGGATGCTCTGTAGTCGCCTCGAGAAGTCAGTTGTGTTTCAAACAGCTCGAAGTGCTGGTAGCATAGGATCTGAGGAGAGAGCCAACATAGTCAGATAATACTGCTATAAGTGTGCCAATGCCTGAGATGATGGGATTTCCAGGTTCGTGGATCTTGGGTATCAGATAGCATGCAGCTGGTTAGGGCTCTGGGGGTGTGTTTGTATAGATTTGGTCCCAAACTCTAGCAGGGAGTTTCTTGAGCCGATGATGTAGTTTCTTTTAGTGCTCCACAGTGGGATCAGAGGAAAGAAGCCTGTAGAACATGGTGTCGGTGAGTTCATGGTTAATAGTCAGTACTTAAAGGCACAGCAGTACCAGTATCTTAATGCCTATTATTGCTGAGGGAGAAAAATTATATGAAAAGTCTGAGGTTTTTAAAAACCAATTCACTTTGGCCGCATTTGCATTCCTTTTGTGTTTCTTACCCTCGTGCTTTGAATAAATCTAGTTTACTAGCATAAATGTTCACAGAAAGTGAATTTCAAAAACAAATTTCAGTGCCAGAAGTACTTCTATGCTCATCCAGTCAGGGAACACAAGCAGTGCTCTGTTCCTTATTTGTCCAATTATAGTCAAATGCATAGGCACAAGAACTAGAGGGGCGTGTGTGTATGTGTGTGGGGAGGGGGGCAGGGGAGCTCTGCTGCCAGCTCCACATGTGGGGATCTTGTTTTGAGCCCTGCATGCCAGAAGCCTCTGCTACCAAGCCTGCGTGCTGGATTCCTAGCTTCTGCCCCATGCACTAAGGATTCTGCTTCCAGCCCTACCGGGGCTTTGCTCCTGGCCTATGCTGGGGGTGGAGATGGACAGGTGTAAGTGGGCTCAGCACAACCACTTTAAAAAATGTTCTGGTGCCACTGGTCAAATAACATACATTACTTTGTTTGACTATTTGCCATCAATCCAGAGTGTGAACAAAAATTCTAAAGGAAATTATTTGAGTGACTGAATAACGAATACGTTTAGGGAAATTGCAGCTTGCTCACTGATATTCAATTCCACAAGGAGAAAAAGGAGCTAAAGTATTTCATTAATGATTCATTCTGTTCCAACAGTTCCTTAAGCCAATCCATTTAATTTCCCACACAGCAGAAAGGGCAGGCGGGTTACTGTGGTCAAGGCTTTCAAAAATGCATCAAGATTTTGGGAGCCCTCAGATTCAAGTGGAGATACCTTAAAGAGCCCCTCATTTTTCAGTGTGCTGAGCAATCGCTTATTGAAAATCAGGCTCCTGTAAGGTGTCTCAAATTGCTGCCCCACCCCCTTCCAATTCACTTTTGAAAAATTTGCCCAGGAATAAAAATGTTTTCAGGACCTTTAATTAGAAAGTGAAAGCAGAAGATTAGGGGATTTAAAAACGCAGGTGGTGTTAATAATAGAGTTAGAGGGATTTTCTTTGGGTGTAGCATAAGATGACACAACATCCCTTTTATCCTTTACTCTGCTTCCAGGTTGTTTACTTCACGGCCACATTTCCCTACTTGATGCTTTTAGTCTTGCTGATTCGAGGAGCCACCTTGCCTGGTGCTATTGAAGGGATCATATTCTACCTGAAGCCAGACATTTCCCGGCTTTCAGATCCACAGGTGGGTGAATACTGCCTCATACTCCAACAACATGATGATGGGAAAAGGAGGAGTTCAGCACTTTGCAGGATCAGGCCTTAATTGAGTGCTACATCAGGTTGGATTTTCCACCCCTAAGGGTATGTCTACACAGCATCGTTATTTCAGAATAACTGACATGATTCCGAAATAACAGAGCGTGTCTATACAGCAAGCCCGTTATTTCGAAATTATTTCAAAATAAGGGGCTTCTTACTCCAACTCCTGTAACCCTCATTTCACGAGGAATAAGGGAAGTCAAAGAGAGTGTTCTTCCTCAGACTTCCTGCTGTGTAAACAGCGCCAAAAGCCAAATTAAGCTGTTTGACAAGTTGCGTAGCTTAATTCGCCTTTTGCCCTGCTGTGTAGACATGCCCTAAGAGATTGACAAATCATTGCGGCCTCTTTAAAAGGACTGAGGGGGGAATCTCCCCCTTCACCTCAGCACAAACATAGCCTTTTTCTCAGGGTGCTGGAAAGATATGGATATGGTAAGCCATTTCTATTTAGGCGCTTGGCAAATGCAGAAGCATCTATTAAATATTCCATGTATGACAAATGGTTTTGTTGAGTCTCAAGTTAAATGAAGATTAACTAAGGGGGGAAAATACTCTCTTCATTTTTTCTGGCCTGGCTTCAGCTTCTCTTGGAAGAGGCTGGAGTATCCCCCGGGAGGCCAGTATCCTAGTATTAAGAGAAACTGTAGAAGGAGTATAGGTAACTATAGAAGTCATAAACGATCAGTTTTAATAAACAGAAGCCCTTTTATTCTCTGTCACTTGTTGTGAGATGTGCACCTTCTTGCAGAATTATGCTCCAGAGTCTCAGCTTCATTTAAAAAAACCCATTGTCTCTAGCCCTTATCATTAGGGGGGAAAAAATCTTGAAAGTGTATAACTTGCATTCAGTGTTAGTTCCCTGAGTTTTTAGATAGCCTGAAACACTAATTCAGAGATGGGAGGACTGCCCCCATGCATCCCTGTGGGGGTGTTAATAATGACACCTAAAGGTAAGTATTTAAAGGTTAATTAATTCACTGCTGATTATTTTAGCAGAAGAATCCAACTAATGTGCTTTTCCCACAGTCTCAAACTACCTACTGAATCCTCCCAGATGGCAAAAGGCCCGACTGCTCCCTGTCCAGCAACTAACACCTCCAGCTTCTGATGGCTCTCAGAGGCAGTTATGTGTTGTCAATAATCTGTGGCCAAGGGCAGCAAATTATATGAGCCCATGGTGCCCGGGCACCAGGAATATTCCTGCTCTGGGGCCCGGATCCTGCAAAGTCCAGATCCATGTGCCACCTATGGGTCCTCACCCTGCCACCCATCTACACCCAAACTCCTTCCCAGAGCCTTAGGCTGGGGATGGGGGAGAGAGTTTGGGTTCTGGGCATTCTGAACACCATCAGAATTTCTGCAGACCTGTTGCTCCCTGTCTGTAACATGCTGAAAACATGGAGGCAGCTTAAAATAAATTTAATTTTAATATCAAAATAAGCCACACAGGCTAAGTGTTTTATTCAAAATCACTTAATTAAAAGCCTCCATTTTCTAATTTAAATGAAGTTGATGTGGAATTTCTGGTCTGTCTCATGGGAGCTCTGAAGGAGCCAGACACCTTGCTGCAGAATTTTGGACAAGCATGTTGTGGAGAAGGTGGGACCTCGATTCTATTGGGATGGCTGTGTTACAGCTTCCTCTATGAATTCATAGATCTGGATCCATGAGAGATCTCAGTTAATTTAAACAGCAGTGGCTGGCTGGAAGGTCTGACAATTTGCAACGACTTAGAAGCCTGCTGGACACTGTTTAGGGGAGACTAAGGATATTGGACAGCAATGTTCCCTCTAATTTTTCCATGCGTGTGTGGAATACATTTTGTTATATGCACCAAGATGTGTGTATGTGCACCACCAGTAGAAACACAGACCACCAGCTATGGGTGCTCTGCTAATCAGCTGGGAGGTATTTGAATCTCTCCTGGGTGGCCACCCAAGCTTACAGGGAACACTGCTGGACAGGGTTTTCCTTCCTGGCTTTTAACTTTCTACTAAGGTCCTTCCCTGGCTGTGTGGTAGGTGCAGCCCATCTTTTGTGGCCCCATGTACTAGCATCACATTGGCTACGTCTAGACTGGCATGATTTTCCGCAAATGCTTTTAACGGAAAAGCACTTTTTGCAGAAAAGCGTCTGTGCCAATCTAGACGCGGTTTTGCGCAAGAAAGCCCCGATCGCCATTTTCGCGATCAGGGCTTTTTTAGCAAAACAATACCGCGTTGTCTACACTGGCCCTCTTGCGCAAAAGCATTTGCGCAAGAGGGCTTTTGCCCAAAGGGAAGCAGCATAGTATTTCCGCAAGAACACTGACAATCTTACATGAGATCGTCAGTGTTCTTGTGGAAATTCAAGCGGCCAGTGTTGACAGCTGGCAAGTTTTTCCGCAAAAGCAGAAACACAGGAAAAACTTGCCAGTCTGCTTTTGCGGAAAAACTTGCCAGTCTAGATGCAGCCATTGTGTGAGAGAAAGTGCTATCAACACAGAGATGTGGAAGAAGAGCCAAAAGCTGAGGGTAAAAATTAACAACAGACTCTGCTGCTTTGGATGCATGCCAGGGTAAAAGGGGAACCCGAATTAATGAAAGCCATGAGGAGTCATGAAAAACTAGGACCACAATGTTTCCTGGCTGCTCCCAGCATCCTTATCTTCCTCCACTCTGAGGAGTAAGGGAATACCAGGTAATGCGGTGTCCTATACAAGTTTTATAGGCACTTGTTTCCTTTTATGTGTCACTCCCAAGCAGCGAGATGATCCCTGTTTGTGCCAATTCAGTCTTTATACCATGCCACATCCCCAGGCGTCCTCTCTGTACGTTCTGTGGGCACATTAGCTTAGAAAAAATGAATGGTGTTTGCGATTGATCTAGCCCCTGAATTACTGCCTTGGAGATATGGATGATGACAGCCCCTGTGGAACATGTCTTGCATCAGTGTAGCTGGGGAAGGAGAGATTGTGCCACGGACACCCCACAGCTTAAAAAGCACTCTCCCTTCCCCCACTCAAACCCATTCTTCCTGAGACTATTTGAGAGACGCTGTTAGAGTCCGGAAGGAAAATCCTCCCTTTTTGCAGTAGAATCTTCACTTCAGTCTCCCAAGCTAGGACCATCAACCTGGCTTCTCAGAGACCTGTCACCCCCTGTATGGATTCTTCCCTTCCCTGCCTGGTGTTAATTTTCTCCATGTCTGACCGGGTGCTGCCACAAGGTGTGTGTACCTTGACAAGACTTAACCACTTATTTCCTTGGCAGTGAGGGCTGGAAATCATTGTTCTTTTCTGTTCCAGGTATGGATGGATGCAGGCACTCAGATCTTCTTCTCTTATGCCATCTGCCAGGGGTGCCTGACAGCCTTGGGTAGCTACAACAAGTACAACAACAACTGCTACAGGTAGGGGCAGCCTGGGCCTCTCTTCCTCTCCCATCCAGTTGAGGACCATGTGGGCAGCATGTAGTGTGGGGCCCATGCCATTTCATCTTCTGCTCTTGTCAGCTCTCACAAGCTAAGCAGAGCTCAGCAACTGGATAGGAGACTTCCCCGGAAAACCCGAGTGCTACAAGAAATGACTTTGGTGGCTCCATAGGTGGCACTCTTGCATCTGGGTGAGTGAGAGAGAGGGGCACAGTGCTTCTGGAGGTGCCATTTTTGAGTTGAGTATTCTCAAATGTGACATGATATGTAAATAAGATTGAATGGTGCATGTGGCCAAATTTAGTTCAGTTACCTGGGTCTGATTTCAGAGGAATTACTTCAGGTTCACAGTGGTTTAAAGAAGAGAATTCGGCCCACAACATCAAATGCCTTAGAAAGACTCCAAATTATGGTCCCTTTAGTGCATCCTCTGTATGTTTTTAGTTCTGTCGGCAAGAGGATCAGCTTTGCTTGGCATGATTGGTTCTTTTACATCCTGGGCCTATTGCTTCTACTTCCTTTTTCTGTTGGGCCTGATCCCCAGCCCACTCAAGTCAATAGGAGTCTTTCTGTTGGTTTCAGATGGTTTTGGGTCAGGTCCCTTGTTGTTTAAGGATTCTTTTTCCTCTCAATATTGGGTCCATTGTTCTACCCACATGTGATGATTTCTGTTGAGCCAGACCCCTGTTGATGTCACTTAGGCATCTTGCTTAGAGTGTATGGCTGCAGCCCTTGGTCTTTTTTTCTGCCAGGTATAATCATATAGTTCCAGTAGTGCCAGTGGGTTCAGGCTGTAGGCTGATGAGTTTTGTTTCAGGATGTAGGCCTCTTGGGGAGTTTCAGGCTAGTGTTACTGTAACTCAGAGCAAGGCTTCACATCCCACCAAGAAAGCTGTGCACAGCCCGGTAAACGTGCTGAGGTCTGGCGCTCCCAGCCCCTCTTCCCTGGGGGCTAGATACGCTGACACTCTGTACCCATCTATTCCAGCCAGCCAGTCTAGTATCTTTCAGTGTTCACCTCGCCTGGGAGATGCCTCATTGTTGTGGAGTGTGTTCCCAGTGGAGGCCATGTTCAAAGGATCCCACCTGCGGGCCCTGTGTAAACCCAAACTCCACTGCGGCCACAAACAAATGAATCTCGGGTCGCATGTGGCCCGCGTGTTGAGTACCCCTGTCGTACCACATCCCATCATCGGCTCAAGCTGCTCCCTCACCACTAACTATGTTGAGCTTCCTGGGTAGGCACCATGCTCCTGGGGTTGAGGCGCTAAGGAAGCGGCAAATGGGGCCAGCTTTAGCCACAGTGATACTGAAGGGATACAGTATGTTCAGCTGAGACACCCCCCACCCCCAGTGCTTTGCATAGATGGAGAAAGGTGGCATTAGCTTTGTACCCCAGGTAGATGGAATCTGAGCCTTATTTTCCATTGGAAAAGTCCAGCAGATTGGAATGGGGCAAGATTTCATACAGAGTGGTTAATGATTTGCATCCTAATTACTGAGTAATTCAAGGGCAGAATTGGGGCTAGATTAGAGGTAGCTTGAAATTCAGGGTATGTCTATTTTTACTGGAAGATTGACACTCTGGCAGTTTAATTTAGCGGGTCTAGTATACACCCGTAAATCGAATGCTAAAGGCAGTTCCTGCCAGTGTTCAGCGCTCCTCTCTTTGTGAGGAGTAAGGGAAGCTGATGGGAGGCTTTTGCTCCTGTCAGCCTCCCTCAGTGTGGACGCCACCACGGCTCATCTTAAGGTAAGATTACTCCAAGTATGCATTTTGCGTAGCTGCAGTTGTGTACCTTAAGCCTTCCTTCCAGGTTCAGTGTAGATCTGCCCTCAGTCCACTAACAGCTTAGCCCTGCCATATTATCTGTGGGCAGAAGAACCCACATTTCACTTTAGCTGGGTTGTGAGCAGCTGTAAGGATCCACCCATGTGGATCTCTAAGGTGCTACAGGACCATTGTTGTTTTTAAAATTTTGTTAGTTACAGATTAACATGGCTACCTCTCTGAGACTTTCAAAATGGTTATAGTATTACATTCACAACACAACTTTCAATGGCTTTTTAGTCTCAGATATAACTAGAACTAGTACCTATATACATTTTTATATTACCAGATTATTTAATTTACAAAGTACAGCAATGAAGGGAGAACATTAAATCCTTTCTTTTACGAAATTGCAAATATTCCATGGAGTTGCTTCATAGTATCCTACTACAGTTTTCACTTTGTCTATACAGGGCTTTATAGTGTGGCTACTTTACAAAGATACAAGGAATTTAGCGTCTACACTATAGATACAGGCACACATACATTGTCTCATAGATACCGCAAGAGGAAAGTCCAAATCCTGCTTTCACATTAACAAGTACAACTCTCACTGAATTCAGTGTGCTGTGTGCAAGTATCTAAAGTCAATTTGGCTCAATGACTTTAAAGACTTACCAGAAATTATTTCTGATGCAGTAATATTTATAGTATAGATTCTTTAACTATGTAAAGAAATTTCAATGAGGTTCAAGAATAAGGCTCCCTTGGGTCATTAATGGTGCAGGCCAGTGTTTTTCAATTTCAGGCCTGTGGACCCATGTCGTCCACAGACTATGTCCATGAGGGTCTGTAAAAGGTCATTGTTGCCATAGAACAGTGATTTTTCAACTGTGATCTGTGGACAACATGGGGGTCCACAGAGTACATCTAAGATTTCCAAAGGGGTCTGACCTACATTTCAAATTTTTAGAGGTTAACAACAACTCTCTGACTATGGTTATCCAGCCAATTATGCACCCACCTTATCGTGGCCCTATCTAAGTTATATTTGCCTAGTTTATCAATAAGAATATCATGCGAGACCGTATCAAATGCCTTACTAAAGTCTAGGTATATGACATCCACCGCTTCTCCCTTATCCACAAGGCTCGTTATCCTATCAAAGAAAGCTATCTGATTAGTTTGGCATGACTTGTTCTTCATAAACCCATGCTGGCTATTCCCTATCACTTTATTACCTTCCAAGTGTTTGCATATGATTTCCTTAATTACCTGCTCCATTATCTTCCCTGGGACAGACGTTAAACTGACCGGTCTGTAGTTTCCTGGGTTGTTCTTATTCCCCTTTTTATAGATGGGTACAATATTTGCCCTTTTCCAGTCTTCTGGTATCTCCCCTGTCTTCCATGATTTTTCAAAGATCATAGCTAAAGGCTCAGATACCTCCTCTATCAGCTCCTTGAGTATCCTGGGATGCATTTCATCAGGACCTGGTGACTTGCTGACATCTAACTTTCCTAAGTGATTTTTAACTTGTTCTTTGTGTATCCTATCTTCTAAACTTACCCTCTCTCTGCTTGTATTCACTACATTAGGCACACCTCCAGACTTCTCGGTGAAGACCGAAACAAAGAAGTCATTGAGCATCTCCGCCATTTCCAAGTTCCCTGTTACTGCTTCTCCCTCCTCACTAATGCTATCTCTGTGTCTCTCTTTGGTTATGCCCCAACAGGGACTGCTTCATGCTGTGTTTCCTGAATAGTGCCACCAGCTTTGTAGCTGGCTTCGCAATCTTCTCTGTGCTAGGCTTCATGGCACAAGAACAGGGCATACCCATTTCAGAAGTGGCCGAGTCAGGTAAGTGCTTTCTCACCATGGCAGGACCAAAAGCAAAACTTATCAAATCCCTTCATGCTTTAAGACCGGGGTGGGGAACCATTTTTAGATCAGGGGCCACTGACCAGCAGAAAAATCAGTTGGAGGCTGCATGCAGGTGTGAAGTGCAACAACACCCCAATCCCTCACTGACGTGGCCCTCGACTGAGAAGGAGAATGACTTTTCCCACATTCCCCTCATACACCAGCGCTTTGGAGGATCCAGGCTAGTAGATTTTGTGTGTTCCAGCCCTTCAGGGCAATGCGGGGGGAGGGAGGGTGGAGCACCAGCATGGGCTTCCCAATACAAGGGCTGGAGCCAGACAAGCCAGGGCCCACATCTGGGCCCTGGACCTCAGGTTTCCCACCCCTGCTTTAGGAGCTCACACTTTTTGATTGAGGCCAGCCCATGAGGTTATCAGTGCTGCTACCTTGAACCGAATCTACATCCTCTGTAATTGCAAGTGTCCCCGGTCCAGTTGCTCAGAACAACCTTGACCTATTTGGCAGACTCAGAGGCTCTGGCCTCTGCTGGGCAGAAACATGGCTTCAGTCTCTGCTTTCCTTGATGAACTTAGTTCCACTGTCCATGCCTGAGTTGCATTGCCTGCTGTTTTTCAATCCCTGATTCTTCTTTCCAAAACCAGCCACTCATCCCGTGTCACTCGCCCCACCCTGCCCATCGCAGAGTATGCTCTGGAGAAGTGAGGTTTTGGCAGGCTGAGTTTTTTTTAACATATGAAACTGGTTTGTGTGTTGCTGGGTCACGTTGTTCGGGAAACCGCATCCTTACTCAGCCATCTGATTAACAGGTCCCGGCCTAGCATTCATTGCATATCCAAAGGCTGTAACGATGATGCCCGTGTCTCAGCTCTGGTCCTGCCTGTTCTTCCTTATGCTGATCTTCCTGGGACTGGACAGCCAGGTACAGTAAACATCCTTCGTCTTTCCCTGTAACTCCAGGGTGTTTGTCACAGGTTTGAGAGTTGGGTGTAGGTCATAACTCATGGGTGGGAAATGGTTGTATGTCTCTGTTACCTGAAACACTTGTCATACATCTATATTACTATGTAAATACTTAGAGCTGGCCAGTATATCCCAGCAGTCAGCTGGTGCTGAGTTGCTCCATAACGGTGACCTGCAGCACCTGCCCCTTCCAGCATCAGTCTCTGGCAATCCAGTGGCAATTAGCAGCTACACATCTTATTCCTTCCCTCCAAGTCTGCCCTTAGGGGCCAGCAGTCATACCTAATGAACAGGGGGGCACTGTACTACACATTTTGTGTCAACCACTTCTCAGTTCACTAGGACCCCCTTTGCATTCTGATGATCCTCATCTGTAACTAGTGTGAAGGAAACTGTACTATGAGTGTTCTTGATTCCAGATGTGTGACTTGTGACCTGCAGTACCTCACTGTTTCCCGGAAGTAACTTTTCTAGCACAGTGGTTCCTCGTGATAAATAATTTGTGTCTGGTTAGCCCCTTGAGCTGAGGTGCAATTCCCCAGTTGTCTCCATGTTCCTTGTATCTCAACATCCGCATTACTTCAGCTTCAGGGATTGTGATAATTTCACTTAGTTCCAGATGTGGCTCCAGTCACTCCTCTGGGCTGGTCAATTCCTGTTACACCTATGGTAACTCCACTTCACTTAGGGTTTGTCTCTACTATTGGGTGGATTGACACTGAAGCTCGATTTAGTGGGTCAAGGGAAGACTTGCTAAATCCACTGCTGATCGCTCTCCCATTGACTCTGATACTGAACAAGAAGAGTAGTCAATGGGAGAGTTTCTCCTGGTGACCTGTCAGGGCTATTCCCCACTCTGGCGCTTCAAGTGCAGAAGGTGGGGATCCGCAAGAGACTTAAAAAATACCTTCAAGTCATCTTTTCCTCCCCGGCTCCTGGTTTGAACTCACACAGGAGAACTGCATCAGGCAGATTCCCTTTCAATTAAAATCTCAACGCTTTCTTCCCATTGGTTCTTCTGGCTCCCTGCCAACACTTCCTGGATACCCTCGGTTTAGCCGTTTAGTTACTGAGTGCTGGGATGGTTAGAAAAGAGTACTACCCCTCCCATCCATCACATGACCCAAAACAATGTGGACCTTTCAGTAAGTAGCTGTAAGCTACACCAACTTGAGTTTCACTACCAAAGTGACTTAAATTGTGTAGCTTAGATCAGCTTGTCTCCATAGTGTAGACCTGCCTTTGGTTCTCAGTCCTTTCAGACATAGTGATGTCTCCCTGTTTCTAAGCAGTTCATGCTTCAGATGTATGAAAAAGAAGAGAGAGACTGAATAGAATTAGGAAAGAGGATGGGGAGGAAAGGAGAGACATTGGGTCCTTGGTTTCTTGACACGAATTCTTCTGCAGTTCGTCTGTGTTGAGAGCCTGGTGACGGCTATTGTCGACATGTACCCAGAAGTTCTGCAGAGGAAAGGACGCCGTGAGCTGCTGATTCTGGCCATTTCAGTCATTTGCTACCTGCTTGGCCTGATGCTAGTCACTGAGGTAAGTAGAGAAGTACATGCTAGAGGAGAGGATATGGACATGTTCATAGAGTGTTACCTGCCTCAAGTTTGCATTTCAAACTGTAGGGGGAAAGGATAGCTCAGTGGTTTCAGCATTGGTCTGCTAAACCCTGGATTGTCAGTTCAATCCTTGAGGGGGGCCATTTAGGCATCTGGGGCAAATCTGTCAGAGAGGGTACATAGTCCTGCTATGAGGGCAGGGGACTGGACTCAATGACCTCTCAAGGTCCCTTCTAGTTCTATGAGATATAGAACTCTCTGTTTAGCTTAGTTTATCAGCTGGTGCATATCATAGCCAATATTTCTTCTTTCTTATATAGTGCCAATTGAGATACTGTAATACTGTGTAGCTGAGTCCTCTGGGGTATATCTCAGAGATAACCTAGCACCAGGGAAAGTCCATCTGAAAGGTACTCTTTATCCAAACTCCTATTCTGATGGCTCTCAGGTCAAAAGTAGATGAGCTACACACAAGATGTGAAAGCTGCTAGTCTTTGCCATAGTGGAGGTCTTCAAAGGAAAGGCACGTTCTCTGTGGAAAACAGGACTGAGGGTTGGAAGGCTGTTGAAAGCAGGTCCTAGATTAAGTTAGAGGAAAGAAGTTGCTGATAGCTGCTCCTCTTATTCTGGAGACAGCAGGATCTTGTTATCTAATACACCCCTTAACCTCTCTTGAATGGCATTTCTGCGGTCATATGAAAAGTCCAAGGGCCTTGCTGAGATTTTACTTGGGAAATCTCCCCCAGAAGGCAAGAGGAGCTTTGCTTGGATAAGGACTGACTGAAAATTGAATCAGGACTTCAGGACCTATCCAACTTCCCTGAGGCTTTCAGACGTTGCCCATCACTGGGGGTTAATCTAAACACTACACTTAATTAGTGGGATTAATAGGAAAGCTTTACTTCTGTCTCAGTGGCCATTCAAGGGGTTGAATAATTTTAGAATGTCTCTGCACCACTTTTATTTTATTGGGGGTTCTATTTTCTTGTTGAGACAAGCTGTGAGAACACGCTCAAGAGTCAAAATCTACAAATAACTCTCCTGAGAGTAGAACAGGGGCTCGGTCCATTGTACAACAGAGAGCCGAAGGCCTTTACCCCCCAAACTCAACTTAGCCAAGGATTCCATTCAGAAACAGTGCTAGAACTCACCATGAAGAATGGTCTATAGCAGCATTTAAAAAAAAAAAATCCCCATTTTCTGTAGAGACTGAAGTTGTGCTCTGAAATGGTTGTGAAACATTATCCTTGCCCCATGACTGATGATTATTTTAGGGCATGGCAGTACCTATCATAGTTAATATCCTAGGGCGTGTCTAGACTGCATCCCTCTGTCGACAGAGGGATGCAGATTAGGCACATTGGAATTGCTAATGAAGCAGGGATTTAAATATCCCGTGCTTCATTAGCATAAACATGGCCACCGCTTTTTTTTTGACATGGAGCTTTGACAAAAAGCAGCAGTCTAGACTCGGATCTATCGAAAATAAACCCTTTTTCGACAGATCCTGTAAACCTAATTTTTTGAGGAATACAGGATCTATCAAAAAAGGGTTTATTTTTGACAGATCTGTGTCTAAACTGTCACTTTTTGTCAACAAAGCTCCATGTCAAAAAAAGCAGCGGCCATGTTTATGCTAATCAAGCACAGGATATTTAAATCCCTGCTTCATTAGCGATTTCAATGTGCCTAATCTGCATCCCTCTGTCAACAGAGAGATGCAGTCTAGACATAGCCCTCGTGTGGACATGCCTAGCTAGAGATACCAGCTCCTTTGCCCCTTTGCTCTAGGTGCGTTTCCCTTGTCCCTCAGCCTTGTTTTTGTAATTGTGCAAATTCCACTTGAGTCATTTTTCTCTTGCATGTTTCCCTTTTGCCCTCCATGTCTCCCCTTTCTCTGCCTGTTGCAGGGTGGAATGTACATCTTCCAGCTGTTTGACTATTATGCTGCCAGTGGTACGTGCCTACTGTTCCTGGCCATCTTTGAAGTTGTCTGTATCGGCTGGGTGTATGGTAAGTGGAACACAAGGACCCAGGCTTTTGTGGAAGGGATGGGAATCGCTGCAACAGTTCCAGGGAAAAGCAGAAGTGCCTCATGCTTCTGATTTAATTTGTTTACCCAGGGGGTTCCTCAGTCCCCATACTCTTGGTGTAGGAATGATTCTTGTCTGCTTTGAAAGGGATTCTCCCAGGCAAAGAGGCAAATACAGTCTCCCTGCTCATTCAGGCGCAGGTTCTATCTGCCATGCACTCTGCTTAACTGGCAGTGGACCTCTAGCCCTTTCTGGCTGACACGGATGATACTCATTTGGAACAGAGGAGGATCCTGTTCATAGTATTGGCAGTGGCTGCCGTTCTGTGGCTGACTGGTCATGTGATCTCCTCATGTTTTTTTGTTAATTTAATGTACAATGTATTGAATCCAAAATTCCATATACAGGCACATTGGGGATTCGCAAGCGTAAAACTCCTTTGCACAATATCTGGCCACAGTTACACATGAAATTAAAAGCCTGATCTGCTGCCCCTTGCAATCAAATAGCAAAACTGTCAAATAGCAAGACTTCAATAGGAGCGAGGTTGGGCCCCCAAAGTCCACATTCCTTGTATCTGCTCCCTGTGCATGCATGCATGTGTGAGAGAGAGAATGAGACAAATGCAAGAACCAGAGCACTGATTCATTGCAGGACCACCCGCAATGCTGCTTAGGGCGTCGCTTCACCTCATGCCTGACCTGGTTCTCTAACCCTGTCTCCGCTCTGATGCAGCAAGAGGGTTGTATGTGAGCTCTCTTCGGGAACAGTTAATCCCCGTGTGTACATTGTTATTGTTCGCAGAGTGCTCCCTGCAGCATGTGATTGTGGCATCAGCCGTCAGATACAGAGCTCAGGGCTGTCTGCTGGCATACACTGCTGCCTAGGGTACCACTACATTTGGGGCACCTCAAATGTCATGATGCCTAGGCACCTATGTGCTGCATCCACCTAGGGCCGCCACTAGGCATGGGCAGCACTAGCTCTGACAGCTAGAACCAAGCCCTAGGCCCCCTGCTAGCTGCACCCAGCTGCTGCTCACTGGCTGTTTTCCCTTTCCGCTGCTGGAAGGGGGAGCTGCCACCCCTCTCTGGCTGGTTGTGTGGCCGGTCCCTGCTCTGCTTCCAACCCACAGCTTAAATTGCTCCCCGCCTAGCACCTTTGGCCTCCTTCCCACCCCCGCCGTTTTCCTGCCCAGGGCCTACCCCTCCCAGCTCCTGCCCTCGCATCCCTGTGTGCAGCCCTTTCCCCACACGGAATGCTTTGTATGTGTGTGTGTGTGTGTGCGCGCACGAACGGTGCAGGTTCTCAGGCCATGCAGGATATCAGGCATCATAAGGATGACCCTGCTGGCTCTGCAGGGTTTTCAGAGCTGGGAAAAACACATGAAAAACTCCTCTCGAGTTAGCCTTGCTCAAGTGAAAGCTGCCCAATTTCAATATAACTCTTGAGCTTCTGAAACCACCCCGGTGCGACACTCGTGTGTGGTGCTAAGACCAAAGGGGATCTCCCTTTCACTTGACCTTGTAGAGAAATCCAGGATTAAATTCATGACACTCCATTGATGTCAGCAGATTTCCACCTGGGTCAATTTGCCCAGACTGTATTTAACATCACAGTGTGTTCCAGTGGAAAGATTGTGCAATGTCACCGAATCTGTTCCATGACCATGTTTTGAACCAGTCAAGTGGAATCAGCAGAGCTGGTCAAAAAAACTGCTTTCCCTCAGTAGAAAATGTCAGTTTTTCAGGAGCCTTCCCCCAACCCCATTGAATATATTTGGACAAAATCAGAAATTCAAAATTGCTACTTCCATGGCTCATGGGAATTTTCTGGTTCTCGTCTTCAATTTCTCCTCTTTGACCAGACTATAGCTCCTCAAAAACAACAGTCTCCTGTCTGCTGAGCCACTGCAGTGCATCAGGGGAATCACATGAGTGTGGTGCAACATGAAAGGTATAATCTAGGAACCTAGTCACAGGTTTAGGGTATGAATCTTACAGCTTCAATTCCCATTAGGCACCATGACAACATTTGCAAATTGAATTTTTTTGAATTTCAGCAAAAGGTTTTGGTTTTGTAGTTTTCAGATTTTAACCAAAAAAGATCAATTTATTTTGTGGAAAGTCGACACTTTATGGAAAAATCTTTAGTTTAGTAAAAAACCTAATTTACCTTCAAAAACATCAATGGAAAATACTTGACCAGCTTTAGATACCAGCTAGGACTCTTGAGCTGAAAGCCCCAGATGTCTGTTTGGTTATGAGGGCAGGATGTTCTTCAGAGGGTACCTCCACCCACATCCACAGTTAAATTAACAGAACTGTCTCTTGTTCACCTACTGGGCATGTTACAAAGTCTGTGTAGACCCACAGACTTACTCTGACAGAGGAGGGTTTCAGCTGGGTTAGGAAGTTATTTTCAGTTAAATTGTTAAGAGTGGATGCCTAAAGTGAGACACCTACACCGTAGGGGTCATTTCAGAAAAAATTGTGTGGGCAAAGTTTGCTTTCTTGATGACCAAGTGTGTGTATAAGAGGGGAAGAGGAGAGCAAAAAATGGAAGATATAGTGGTGAATGGGTGAGGGGGAAAACCGAGGTCTAGCAAGAGAGAATTGCCCCCTCTTGTCTCGTAGTGAATAACAACCCTAGACCTAATGCCATATTTAGTCATTGAAATTGGTGGCCTGAATTCCAGAAATTCTGGGCACTTGGAGAACTAAATACACCGTTGCTGTGTGGATTTAGAGTTTCCGTTCAAGTAGAGTGTAACTAACCTAGACTTGGCAAGAATAATTCTGAAGAACAAAAACTATCACACCCTTTCCTCTCTCTTTCTCTGTCCCTGTTGTGATCCAGGCGCAGACCGTTTCTATGACAACATCGAGGACATGATTGGTTTTCGGCCATGGCCGCTTATTAAGATGTGCTGGTGGGTTGTCACCCCTGGTGTTTGCTTGGTAGGTACATGGTATGGCGAGGCATGTTTGTCCAGGGATCCTGGAATCTGAGTGAAGTTGAGAATTTGAGAGAGGCGCTGTTGTTTCACAGAATTATTAGGTGCAGCAGTAGCTTCTCCAGAGTTGAAGTTGGAATCAATTTCCATTGTAAAGACTTTCCTTAGATTTGGACATTTCAATTTAGCCTGCAAATTGGCATGTTTATTCAGAAGGCAAAGGCTAATGTATCTGCAAAGCCTGAAGGGAATTGGTTGAATCATTTTTGAATTTCAGCCCTTTAAAGAATTACAGTATCTTGCAATTTTCACTTTGGTCTACATTTCTGTGATGTCCTGTAGTTCAAAAAATGCCCTTGGCTTGCCACAAAGTCAAAGCACTTTGACAATGCACCCACCAACTATGTGTGAAGAAAACTGTTTATAATTAAGGAAAGGTTTTAATTATTTTTGTTTCATGCCCAGTTCTTTTCTCACTGGTTTCAAGAGACGTTATGGGTCCAAACCTGCTCCCATCAACAACGGGAGATTTGTTTGCCATTGACCTTAATGGATCGGGATCAGGCACTATCACCAACATTTTCAACCATTCAGATAGGCACAAACAGCTTTTGGAACTGCCTCTTGGAGGCTCCAATGAAGGTGAAAAACAACCAGAGAGTTTTCAGAGCTGCTGCTTGGCAGCGTTGCCTGGAAGCTGGGCGCTTGTACATCCATTCAGGAGAAATTCAAATGCCACCCAGAAGGTTAGCAGAGAGTCCGCAGCTGGGGTTTTGTTTCTACTGGTGGTGCACATTGGCACATGCCTTGGTGCAGATCCAATTTATTTTGCACATGGGTAGAAAAAAAATCCACAGATGGATGGAAAAGATTAGAGGTTCTAAAGATTAGATTGCTGCTTGGTCATACATGAGTTGCTGACAGCACAGTGGTTTGAGAGCTCAACAGGGCTGGTGTGGGCTGAAAGAGCAGCTTTCAGAGTATTTGCAGAGAGAACCTGACGGTGCTCCAGGGCTGTTCTGATATCTCAAAAGTCAGCCATGTCAGAGGTACTACTAAGCCAAGAGTCCCCAGAGAAAGTGCTCAAACTACAGCCCCAGATTGGCTGCTCCAGAGTCTCTGCATCTCTTATCCTTACAAATAAACTTACCTGTCTCCTACACCTCCACTGGTGGGAAAGAGAATTTCCTGATGCTTAGAGGATCCATGTTGGCGAGGGTGAGTCAGGGCAAGGATTTGGGTAGGAGCTGGGAAGGTGAGGGATAGAAGGCAGAAGAGCACTGAGGCTCGCATCCCGAAGGTCCGGGGAAGGGGAGGGGTTGGTAAATGGAAAATAACACAGGGGCAGGGGAAAATTTGAAATAAAAAAAATGCCCTAAAATTCAGTTAACATTGGTAAGTAACAGCAAGATATGTGCCCATCACAATATTTTCAACTCCCAAAAACATAGGAACAAGGAAATAACTAGGCAAGGTCATCACAAATCTTCTACTGCTTATACTTCCCTTGTCAGGAGTTTATACTTCTCTTTCACCTCCTGTTTTTGACTTACCATGTACCCACCTGCAGTGTTGACTTTTATGTTATCTGTTCTTCAGGCAACCTTCCTATTTTCACTGATCAAGTACACACCCCTCAAATACAACAACTCCTACGTGTACCCTACCTGGGGCTATGTTTTGGGCTGGTTGATGGCTCTGTCTTCCATGATCTGCATTCCA